CAGGTGCTTCTCAAAGATCGCATCCATACGCCTCGAGTTCATCAGGCCAGACTGGACCACAAGTAGTCTCACTTCAAAAATCGACCAGTTGATTCATATATTCTAGTTTGTATTAGATTGAAGCCTTTCTCGCTTTTTTGAGTTTGAGATCATTCTGGACAAGTTTTACTTCTCACAGTTGGTTCATATATTGATTTCATATCAAATAGACATGTGATTAGATAAAATATTAATGGGAAAACAACTTGAAAGGGTAGGTACCTTACGTTCTCCTTCTTTGTGAGAGGTAAGCAGCTGGTTGTAGCAGAGGTTCCTTCTGAAGAGGTTTTCTAAAAGCAACTTGAAAGGGAGGTACCTTACGTTCTCCTTCTTTGTGAGAGGTAGCAGCTGGGAGTAGCTTGGAAGGGGAAGGTACCTTACGTTCTCCTTCTTTGTGAGAGGTAGGAGTAGCAGCTGAGAGTAGCTTGGAAGGGGAGGTACCTTACGTTCTCCTTCTTTGTGAGAGGTAGGAGTAGCAGCTGAGAGTAGCTTGGAAAGGGGAGGTACCTTACGTTCTCCTTCTTTGTGAGAGGTAGGGGTAGCAGCTGAGAGTAGCTTGGAAAGGGAGGTACCTTACGTTCTCCTTCTTTGTTGAAGAAGTAGCAGCTTGTTGTATCAGAGGTTCCTTCTGACAGGTTCTCTAAACAACTTGAACGGAGGTAATATCCCCCCTTACGTTCTCCTTCTTTGTGAGAGGTAGGAGTAGCAGCTGGTAGTAGCAGAGGTTCCCTTTTGAAGAGGTTCTCTAAAAGCAACTTGAAAAAGGGTAGGTACCTTACGTTCTCCTTCTTTGGGAGAGGTAGCAGCTGGTTGTAGGCGAGGTTCCTCTGAAGAGTTCTCTAAAAGGCAACTTGAAGGGTAGGTACCTTACGTTCTCCTTCTTTTGTGAGAGGTAGCATCTGTTTGTAGCATGAGGTTCCTGCTAAGAGGTTTCTCTAAAAAGCATTGAAGGGAGGTACCTTACGTTCTCCTTCTTTGTGAGAGGTAAGAGTAGCAGCTGAGAGTAGCTTGGAAAGGGTAGGGACCTTACGTTCTCCTTCTTTGTGAGAGGTAGGAGTAGCAGCTGGTAGTAGCAGAGGTTCCCTTTTGAAGAGGTTCTCTAAAAGCAACTTGAAAAAGGGTAGGTACCTTACGTTCTCCTTCTTTGTGAGAGGTGAGAGTAGCAGCTGAGAGTAGCTTAGAAAGGGAAGGTACCTTACGTTCTCCTTCTTTGTGAGAGGTAAGAGTAGCAGCTGAGAGGCTCCAAAGGTTCAAGGGTTCAAGCTTTCAAGGGTTCAAGGATTCAAGGGTTCAAGGGTCCAAGGACTCAAGGGTTCAAGAGTAGCTTGGAAAGGGGAGGTACCTTACGTTCTCCTTCTTTGTGAGAGGTAGGAGTAGCAGCTGAGAGTAGCTTGGAAAGGGAGGTACCTTACGTTCTCCTTCTTTGTGAGAGGTAAGAGTAGCAGCTGAGAGTAGCTTGGAAAGGGTAGGGACCTTACGTTCTCCTTCTTTGTGAGAGGTAGGAGTAGCAGCTGGTAGTAGCAGAGGTTCCCTTTTGAAGAGGTTCTCTAAAAGCAACTTGAAAAAGGGTAGGTACCTTACGTTCTCCTTCTTTGTGAGAGGTAAGAGTAGCAGCTGAGAGGCTCCAAAGGTTCAAGGGTTCAAGCTTTCAAGGGTTCAAGGATTCAAGGGTTCAAGGGTCCAAGGACTCAAGGGTTCAAGAGTAGCTTGGAAAGGGGAGGTACCTTACGTTCTCCTTCTTTGTGAGAGGTAGGAGTAGCAGCTGAGAGTAGCTTGGAAAGGGAGGTACCTTACGTTCTCCTTCTTTGTGAGAGGTAAGAGTAGCAGCTGGGAGTAGCTTGGAAAGGGAGGTACCTTACGTTCTCCTTCTTTGTGAGAGGTAGGAGTAGCAGCTGAGAGTAGCTTGGAAAGGGAGGTACCTTACGTTCTCCTTCTTTGTGAGAGGTAGGAGTGGCAGCTGGTAGTGGCAGATGTTCCCTTTTGAAGCGGTTCCCCAGAAGCAACTTGAAAAAGGGTAGGGACCTTACGTTCTCCTTCTTTGTGAGAGGTAAGAGTAGCAGCTGAGAGTAGCTTGGAAAGGGAAGGTACCTTACGTTCTCCTTCTTTGTGAGAGGTAGGAGTAGCAGCTGAGAGTAGCTTGGAAAGGGAGGTACCTTACGTTCTCCTTCTTTGTGAGAGGTAGGAGTGGCAGCTGGTAGTGGCAGATGTTCCCTTTTGAAGCGGTTCCCCAGAAGCAACTTGAAAAAGGGTAGTGACCTTACGTTCTCCTTCTTTGTGAGAGGTGAGAGTAGCAGCTGGTAGTAGCAGAGGTTCCCTTTTGAAGAGGTTCTCTAAAAGCAACTTGAAAAAGGGTAGGTACCTTACGTTCTCCTTCTTTGTGAGAGGTGAGAGTAGCAGCTGGTAGAAGCAGAGGTTCCTCTTTGAAGAGGTTCTCTAAAAGCAACTTGAAAGGGTAGGTACCTTACGTTCCCCTTCTTTGTGAGAGGTCGGAGTAGCAGCTGGTAGTAGCAGAGGTTACTTCTGAAGAGGTTCCCCGGAAACGACTAACCACACTGCTCAGGGTTTGGAATTTTTTGCGCATCCATCAAAGGACCTTATGTGTTTCGATTTGTTTGCTTACTTCATCATCGGTTCCTCGTGCGTCGCGCATTGGCCAGGAGCTGCGGCGTGCTGCTGGCTGCCGCCTGCGCAGAGCAAGCGAGGCGCTAAAAGTGGGCATGCAGCGGCATGCAACGTTTTTGCTCACAGGGTCTAATTCCAAGATGATGAATGCATGTCTCCTGTGAATTTTCCATTCTCCTTCTAAATTCGAGATACATATTTATAAGGGTTTTGCACGGTCAGTCTGTTTCTGATGATTTTCTGATGATCTATAGTTTGCTTGCTCATTTCATTGTGGGTTTGTGGGTCCGCCACGTGCAAGTCCATGGATCCTTCTCTGCTACCACGCATGTACTTTAAGGTTTGTTCAGCATGTTACATGTTGATTTGCTGGTGTTTCAGAGCATGTGCAATACCATGTGATATACCATGCATCCCGGGTGTTTGGCCCCAAGCATTTCGCAATTTGCTCCGATCGCTCGCTGGGCGCGCCTGTGTCGGTCCCTCTCTTCTTTTGTGCTGGCGATGGCATGGCGCGGTGGTGCTGGTCGTGGCAAAGGCGGCAAGGGGCGCAAGGGCAGTAAGAGCAGTGAGAGCAAGCCAACCCAGAAGGATGGCTCCGCCACCAAGGAGCTCGAGTATTTGCAAGCTGTGCAGCCGCAGTGGCACATCAACAAAGCCAGCCTGCGACCATTTGCCTCAGCGACGGGGTCGCCCTTCTATACTGGACGGTCGCAGTCGGACGCCGACTTTCTCAGCACCGCCAACATCATGGAGAACAAGCTGGAGCCTTACGCAAGCGAGATCGTGAACCGCCTTGGGCTGGCTGTGAGCGAAGCGGGCGGCACGGCCAGCATGGGCTCGGAGCTGCTGGAGAAGTACGCGGCCGATCCGGCCGAGGTAGCAACAAAGCTTGGGATCCAGGGCGTGACGGAGCTGTTGCAGCCTGAAGCCGGCAAGGCTTTTGTACAGGCAGCGGCTGTCTTCAACAGGAATGACGAGACGGTGCCCAAGACCACCGCGGCTTTGCAGGCTGCGGCTGCGCGCTGGACGGACTTCCTGCTGGAGAACCCGAAGGCAAAGGCAAAGGCGGTGCAACGATTGGTGAAGTCTTCGGCCACGCTCTACCTCCTCGGCATGGAACTCTTGCAGTGGCTTGCAGCAGCGCAGCACCCCCAGAAGTGGGCGAACAAAATGAAGGGGCAGAAGTCCCTGCAGAACGAGAAGGTCCAGAAGTGGATGCGCGCTCCCTCGGAGAAGGACCGCCTCACGGCTGCCATCGTGGCTTCGTATCAAGAGCAAATTGAGCCGCCGCAAAAGAAGCGGCAGGCGCTATCTGACAGCGAGGGCCCCTCACCCCCATCCGTGGCAGCAGACGGCCCTGAAAGCAGCGGGGGCGAAGAGAAGAGCAATTCCAGCCACGACAAGAAGAAGTCAAAGAAGGCCAAGAAAGCTGACAAGAAAGCCGACAAGAAGGCCAAGAAAGACAAGAAAAGCAAGAAGAACAAGAAGGTCAGCAGCAGCAACAGCAGCCAGGATTCGTCTCATTCCCCATCGCCGGCCACCACGCGGCGTCGCAAGGCAACACCCGCAGAGCCCGCGAAGAAGACGCCGAAGGACGAGGCAAAGGTTGAGGAGGTCCAAGACTGAGCGGCGTATGGCTGCTATATATATACGATATTATTTCATGCATGTGTGTGTGGAGGCGGCGGCTAGCAGAAGCACAGGCAAAGCCCTGCCACACTCTTGTACCATTATATCTCTGACGCTGGTGTGCTGCGGACCACCGGTTCAGCGCCACAGCACAGCAGGGAATTCACAATCTTTTGTAGAGCTGATGGCCGAGCATCGTGCCCAAAAAGAGCGCCTGGGTTTTGTGGTTTTGTTTTGGAATTGAGCTGCAGTCGGATCACTGGTGCCAAAAGGTTTGGTTTGTAGGTAGGTCCGAGCATCCGGTTCTTCCCTTGCATGGGTTTTGGAATTTTGCTTTTGAAATGCTTCTCGGTGACTATTATTTTGAACTTTCGTGTTGCATTTATTTAAGTAGAGTGTTTGTGACAGTGATCCTGATGTTCCATTTTCTTTTCGGGGTTTGGTCTAAAACGATCTCGACGGATTGCTTCTGCTTGTTTTGCTGTCTTGGCAAAGCTGACATGTAAGGAAGGCACATAGGTATTGAAGATATTTTGCCGACAGAATTTGGCTACAGCATTGATATCATCATACGTTGCATACTCACCACATGGACTGGCGCATTGATATGCTTGATCCGCCGCTGCATGGATACTGCTCAAAGCCAGTCTTGAGAACAGCAATTACCCACGTGCTTATTGCTTTCTGTCGCGCCATCTTTTGCAGCCATGCCGAAGCTTTGCAGCGGCTTCTATGCGCGCTTGCCTTGCTTCTTCTCGCCTACAAAGATCGGCAAGGCTGCATGGACAAATTCAGGGGACAAGTGCCTCTTTTGCGATGATGCCAAGATGAGCAAAGCTTGCAATACCATCAAAGGCCGTGGCAGCGTCACGCGGTCATTGAAAGCTTTCCGGGCCCACTACGAGGAGCACAACTACGTCTACAACGCTGCCATGATGCGGGTCCCGGACGAGTGGCGTGAGAAGTTTCACGAGGAGGCCTTGAAGAGCAAGCGCGGACAGCCGCGGCAGCCGCGTCAACATCGCAGTGCGCCTGCGGCCGCACAGGGGGAGAAGGTGGGCGAGCTGTGGACGGCGGTCTTGCAGCACCGCAAACGGGCCTTCAAGAACTTAGGCAGCACGGAGGTGACGGCCTACAAGAAGCGCCGCACTGCCGACCGGAAGCGCGTGGCGAAGAAGTTCTTCGTGAACAACCAGCTGCCTGTGCCCGAGGCCACGGACATCGCCACGAATGACGCAGGCTTGCCGGCCGCCAGCTCGAGCGACCGCGCGGCCTTTGTGGAGCACTGGTGCAAGTTCGGGTCCTGGGGCATCTGCCGCACCTGTCACTCCTTGCAGCCGCGTCCCTTGGAGCCTATCGACGCCCGGCGCGTTGCCCAGGCAGAGATTACCTCCAACGCTTGCAAGCAGTGCAAAGGCAAGAAGTGGGTCCCCCAGCCGGACGAGATCCCAGACCGCCTCCGCAAGCTCACCCTGAAGATGGCCAAGGTGCTGCGGCCGTTGGACATTGACGTGGGTCGGATGAAGAAAGCCAACAACGGCTACCGCATCAAATCGGCTATGACGCGCCTCAGCTGGAGCAAGCTCTCGGTGACAGACAAGATCGCCCAGGCAAGGCGCTATAGGAGGTGTACGGTCTTTGCCTGTATATGTAGTATGTCATGTACAGATAGATATACTAGGCGTCTATTGTCTAGTGCATGTATGTGCTTAGGGGATAGCTATGGGTTAATCTCTACCTCTGGACTCTCCATCTACATGATACGTTGCATATGCCAAGTAAGTTGCTTTGTATACGGTGTCCACGGTTGCCGTGCATTCTGTCCAGGTACGCACCAGGAGCAAGCGCAAGAAGTTGGAGAAGGCCTACGAGTACCTCATGTCCAAGGAGGCGGACAGCACCTACGGGGACCTTGTCAAGATGCACAACAAGTTCCTGCGCAAGCACCCGGACCCCAGCGATGAAGCTTGCCGCAGGCCGTTGCAATTCATTGAGACAGCAGGTCTGGAGTGCGCCCTCTGGCCGACCTTGTACTGGTGCACCGAGATGTGCGAGACCGTCGAGCGGGCCACTGATGTGAGGCGCCTTCAGCGGCAGGGCAACCAGGCAGTGCTCAACGACGACAGCGACGAGGAGACGCCGGGTGAGCGCCACAGCATCAAGCGCAGCTTCCTGAGGAAGGTTTTGAGCCCGATCATCGGGTACAGCCAGGACTTCGAGCTCCTCCAGTTCGTCTACGACTTAACGATGTGGTCCCGCATCGGCGGCGGCAAGAATGCCTGCGCTAGCTTGCCGCTGCGCCTGGTCCTGAAGGGGGAGACGTTTTCACCGCTCTACTGGAAGACCAAGCATCAGGCCCTCATCGACATGCAGCGCCAGTGCGGCTTTCCGGCGCTCTTCAAGACCATGGCGCCCTGGGAGTTCAGCTTTCCATACCACGCCTTTGTCCTTGATGAGATGGCGAAGTGTGGCCGTGGTCGCATGCAGTCTGCAGGATTGGAAACCTTGCACACCGCCCACGTCTTCACCGAGCTGAACCGGGGCCTCTACAGCGGCGCCAACAAGAAGGGGAAGGACGACGGCTGGAAGGATCACATCTTGGCTGCAGAGGATGGCCAGGTCAAGACCGTGGTCAACTACTTTCAGCGCTTGGAGTTCCAGGACGGCAAGCGCAAGCTCCCCACCCAGGACTACCACGGCAGCGGACGAGTTCATGTCCACAGCCTAGATTACCTGCAGCACGTGGAGGCGATCGGCTTGGAGCACAAGTTCTCTGCCACGGTGCCCGGCGAGGACGAACCCGCGCTGCGGGGCTACATGCTCGGCAGACCTCATGGCCGCAGTGACAGCGGGTGGCCTGTGGAGGACGGGCCCTCCAGATACGACGCCGAGGTTGGCATTGTGAAGCTGCACCACACACAGGCGGACAAGGACTGGCGGACGAGGGTTCAAACATAATTTCAACATTACTCAAGTATGTGCTAGCCAGGCTGCTTTGTTCCATATATACGTAACCATATATGTTCTAATGTTATTCATCCTTTGCTGTTCTTAATTCCTGCCCTTCAGGAGCAGGGGCACAGGGCCTACTTCAAGGAGACCTTGGAGGTGACCAAATGCCATCAAGATGTGCTGCATGGCAATGGCCAGGGTTTGCTGTTGAAGTACGTGGCGACGTACACGCCCAAATTCTCCGACAGCTTTGCCCGCGAGTGGCTCAATGATGAAGCTTCTGCCTTCTCGGTCGCTCGCCGCGTGCTCTTCGACTACCAGCCGGCCGAGCCGGAGATGTGGCTGTATCTGTTTGCGCAGCAGTTCCCACCCTGTCGCTATGGGGGCACCATGTGTCCACTGCTGGCGCCCTGGCCTGGGATGGAAGTCAAGCCCAAGCTGATCGAGGCCTACGAGACCTGCGACTGGCGGAGCGAGGAGATGAGCTTCCTGGAGTTCTGTCGGAAAAGCAACAAAGAGGGCGCCATCGCGCAGTGGGTGCAGCGGCTCCACAAGGCCTCCGGCAGCGACAACGTCCCCCTCAAGGTCTTTGCCAACGCCTGTCCCATGAAGGGCGAGAAGCTGGTGGCCTGCGACACCCTGTCCATCTTCAACGACCGTTGGTTTGGCCAGTGGCTTGCTTTGCGGAAGCCTTTCCGCAAACTGGAGGACTTGCTTGACAGCACCATCACTGACAAGGCCATGCAATATGATAAACCATCACATGCAAATAGGTTACTTGTATGGTTATTTTCCTGCAGCCGTGTTTAACTTCTTTATTCTTCGCTTGCTTTATTCTATATCAACGATATCTATATCTATATAGCTGTGTCTATAGCTACACCTATATCTATCTCCTTCCAACATATCATGTGCATGCATGTGCACTCATCTGCGATGCCTCTACTCATTTAACTCAGATTGCCTTCCTTGCTGCAGGTCCCGGTTCAGTACATGCACTTCGCCAACACCACCCAGCAGTGCCCAGACTATTGGGAAGATGAGAGCAGCATCCGCGCAGACCTGGAGCTCGAGGCCGTGGGCAACAGCAAAGCGGAGACCTTCGTGGCCATGGTCCGGGCCCACCGGGCCTTGGTGGAGCGCTTCCTTGCCGGCGACTTGGACAAGAATGACGATGCTGGGGTGCAGGTTGCCATGGTGGACCTGGGCTTGATCGAGGGCGAGGAGGACCCCATGTTTGCTGGCATGGAGCTCAATCGTGGCCAGAAGCGCTTGGAGAAGGCCCTCTACACGCAACTGGATCGTGCCAAGCGCGGGCGCCTCGCTGCGAATGACAAAGAGTGGGAGGAGGTCGTAGAAGAGGCCCATACCAAGGCTAAGCCCCTCTTCGTGACTGGCCCGCCCGGCACCGGTAAGAGCACCGTGGTGGACAAGTGCGTCCGCAAGTGCCTGCGTGAAGGAGGCCGCGTGCTCTATGCCTTGCCCACAGCACAGCAGGCCTCCCGTGTGCGGGCAAAGCATCCGGAGGCAGATGTTGACACCTGTTCCGGAGCCTTCTTCCTCTACCGAGATGCTATTGAGGTGATGGACTGCTTGACGCAGTACGACATGGTGGCCGTGGACGAGGTCTCCCAGCTGTCGCAGTCCGACTTTGAGCGCATCATCCAGATGTGGGAGATGGCCGACAAGGTGCCGGCCCTGGTCTTTGCGGGCGATTTCTGGCAGTTGCCCGGCATCGGCAAGAAGGGCGAGGAGCCCACCAAGGCCACGGACAGCCCGCGCTGGAGCATGGTTTACCAAATCGACTTGCATCAGATGTGGCGCTGCAAGGACAACGTCCTGAAGGAGAAGCTGCAGCCCCTGCGCACCGCCAAGCCCAGCAGGTCCCAGTTGACAAACATATGCCGCGGCCACAAGGCTTGGTCCGGTCATCACGAGCCGACAGCCTGGGACCTGCAGCAGCTTTACCGGAGCCATCCTCACACCACCATCGCCACTTGCACCCGCTGGGCAGCAGCCAAAGTGAACGACTTGGCCATCTTCGTGCTCTACGCCACTCGCAAGAAGCGCAAGCTGGAAACCGTGCCGGTTGACTGGGAAGCCAACCCTGACAACTACGACCAGGACGCTTGGAAGGGGTGCCTTCGCAAGTAAGGGTAATTATAATCATATTTCTTTCTTTTCTGTGCTCGGTATTTGCGCTATTCCTTTGCTTCCTGTCTTTCTTCGCCGCTATTTTGACTTTTTGAGGGGTTGTTAGCTAATTATTTCGACTGTGTTGCTTTTCTCGCGCCCCCTTGCAGGACAACAAGAACCAGCTGATCACGGGCACGCCGCCGAAGGCATTGGAGATGCCGCTCTACAAGGGCATGCGGCTGCACATCACGCGCAATGTCAACAAGGAGGCCGACTTCATTAACGGGATGGAGGCAACCGTCGAGGCCTATGATGCAGCATCCAAGTGCATCCATGCTGTGACGAAGACTGGGCGCCACCTCGCTATCTATCCCTTGACGGACTACGTGGAGGACTGCGGCTACGTCACTGCCTATCCCTTGCGCCCAGGCTATGCCAGCACCGTGCACAAGCTGCAGGGCGCAGAGCTGGAGCACATCACCATCTGGCTGGACCGCCGAGGCGCCAAGGCCGCCGCCTACGTGGCCATGAGCCGGGTGCAGCACGACACGGACTACCTCCTTGGTGGCAAGCTGCATCGCGATCACTTCACCCCGGCCATGTGAGAGCTGCACTCGTGCGATTTATGCACCTTGTACCGTTAGTGTAACTTTAGGGGTCGTGTAGGGCAGGTCAAGCTGCACAGGGCCAAGCCCTACAAAGGGGAGTTTGCAGCCAAGCGCATGGGCAAGGACCCGTTGCACAGCTTTGCCTTGAGATTTGTCTGCAGAAGTGGTGGGGCCAAAACAGGCTTGGCGCCCTTTGCCTTACATACAACATTTAGCTTGTGCAGGAAAGAGTAAGATCTTCAATGCAGGTGTAAAGCATGGTTTTGCATCTTCGGTATGATGGCATCTTCTTATCATTGAATCTACAGGTTCATGGACAGTTGCAACTTCGGGCATTGATGTCTTATTCATATGGCATGTCTTTTTCGCAAGATCTGTTGTGTGATGCTTCTTGTACCGATGATATTATTGTATACATATACATTGTTTTTGCCTTTGGGTTTTATTTGATTGTACGGTTGTGATAACTGCACTGTTGTACTTACATCAACGAGTTTTGCTACTTCGCCGCTCTTTGTTTCACAGCTGGCTCAAACGACTGTGGCCAAGTGGCCGGATCAATTGAAGGTTACAACACAAGTTAGTAAAAAGGGGCCCCCGCCAGGCTGGCCCCCGCCAGGTTGGCCCCCGCCAGGGGTGCCTGGCCCCCGCCAGGTGTGTCTGGCCCCCGCCAGGGATGTCGAAGGCCCCCGCCAGGCCAAAGCAAAAAAAGACTTTAGGATCCTAAACCCTAAAAAAATATATTCCGGGTGGCCTGGGGTGGGATGACCGCGCCGCGCGGTGCGAAGCGCAGATGATGAGAGGGTGGGCGTGCAAGCCTTCATCGATAGCCCACCCGAGAGAGAGCGCGAGCAACCAATAACGTAGGCACACCCTAAACCCTAAACCCTAAACCCTAAACTTTTAGGCCTTGCGGCACTTGTGCGCCAACACAAGTTGAAGCCTAAACGGTGCTTTCAACAAGCGCGTGTATTGAGAAAACTAATTGTATTTCACCGCCCTGCGCAGCTGAACGTACCAGCGTGCTGCCATACAAAGCAGTATTCAAAATTAAACCCTAAATTTTAAGTCCTTCAACCCCCAATCTTTCAATGATACCATCCATTTCTGAAGATACAACTTCATTTTCAATAAAGAGGGGTTTGGTACCCCAACTGGAAACCCCAAACCCTGTAAATTATATGAACAACAAAGCAACATCCAAAACTAAACCCTAAATTTCAAGCCCTCCAACCCCCAATTTGTCAGTGATACCATCCATTTCTGAAGATGCAACTTCATTTTCAATAAAGAGGGGCTTGGCACCCCAACTGGAAACCTCAAACCCTGTAAGTTATATGAACAACAAAGCAATATCCAAAACTAAACCCTAAATTTCAAGCCCTCCAACCCCCAATTTGTCAGTGATACCATCCATTGCTGAAGATACAACTTCATTTTCAATAAAGAGGGGCTTGGCACCCCAACTGGAGACCCCAAACCCTGTAAATTGTATGAACAACAGAGCAACACCCAAAACTAAAAAAAAAATACGGTTAAACGATTTAGGGTTAAAGGATTTTAGGGGTAAAGGATTTAGGGTTAAAGCATTTTAGGGTTAAAGGACTTAGGGTTAAAGTATTTTAGGGTTAAAGGATTTTAGGATTAAAAGAATTTAAGGTTAAAGGAATTTAGGGGTAAAGGATCCGCTCCACACGACCTTGAAAAGCACCAACGATCCCAAAGAATTCCAAGGACCCCAAGGACCAAGGTCGCGTGTGAGCGGTCCTTGGGTCCTTGGGGTCCTTTTGGGGTCCTTGGGGTCCTTTTGGGGTCCTTGGGGTCCTTGGGGTCCTTTGGTGTTCTTGGAGTCCTTGGGGTCCTCTGGGCTCTTTCGGGTGTCCTTTGGTATCCTTTTGGTGTCCTTTTGGGGTGTCCTTGGTGTCTTTGGGGCGTCCTTGGGGTGTCCTTGGGGCGTCCTTGGGGTCCTTGGGGGGTCCTTGGGGCGTCCTTGGGGCGTCCTTGGGGTGTCCTCCTGGGGGGCTCCTTGGGGGCTTCTTGGGGGTGTCCTTGGGGAGCTGCTTGGGGGTCCTTGGGGTGTCCTCCTGGGGGGCTCCTTGGGGGCTTCTTGGGGGTGTCCTTGGGGAGCTGCTTGGGGGTCCTTGGGGTGTCCTTGGGGGGGCTCCTTGGGGGGCTTCTTGGGGGTGTGCTTGGGGAGCTCCTTGGGGGGTCCTTGGGGGCTTCTTGGCGGTGTGCTTGGGGAGCTCCTTGGGGGGTAATTGGGGGGTCCTTGGGCTCCTTGGGGGGCTTCTTGGGGGTGTGCTTGGGGGAGCTCCTTGGGGGGTCCTTGGAGGGTCCTTGGGGGCTCCTTGGGGTGTCTTTGGGGGGTCCTTGGGGTGTTCTTAGGGGGCTCCTTGGGGGCTTCTTGGGGGTGTGCTTGGGGAGCTCCTTGGGGTGTAATTGGGGGGTCCTTGGGCTCCTTGGGGTCTCTGTGGGGGGTCTTGGGGAGTCCTTGGGGGTTCTTTGGGGGGTGCTTGGGGGTGTCCAGGCTTGGGAGGCCTGAGAATGAAATGTCAAGCTTAGGGCGCATGGTGCTTTATGTCAGGCTTAGGGCGCACGCTGCTTAAACTTAAATATAAAAGTTGTCAGGACCAGGGCACGCAAAGCCTGGATTTTTCACTTAAGTAAATGTTAAGCTTAGGGTCCGGCTCCCCCTAATAAAGGAAAGAAGTTTTTGCGCATTATCATTTCGATTTCGTGCAAAAATCATTCGTGGGCTTTGGCTTGGGCGCCAACCTGTGTTGGCGGACCCTAAACCCTAAACCCTAAACTTTTAGGCCTTGCGGCACTTGTGCGCCAACACAGGTTGAAGCCTAAACGGTGCTTTCAACAAGCGCGTGTATTGAGAAAACTAATTGTATTTCACCGCCCTGCGCAGCTGAACGTACCAGCGTGCTGCCATACAAAGCAGTATTCAAAATTAAACCCTAAATTTTAAGTCCTTCAACCCCCAATCTTTCAATGATACCATCCATTTCTGAAGATACAACTTCATTTTCAATAAAGAGGGGTTTGGTACCCCAACTGGAAACCCCAAACCCTGTAAATTATATGAACAACAAAGCAACATCCAAAACTAAACCCTATCATTTTTTTAAATATCACATATATTTTAGAAAAATCTTTTCAAAATATAAAATAATTTATTAATTATTGCTTCTTATAACCTTTGATTTATTATTTTTTTTTAAATTTTTTAAATTCATAGATTATTATGAGAAAAGTGCCTGGGGGGAAAAGGAAGAGAGAAGAAGAGAAGAGGAGATGAAGAAGAGATGAAGAGGAGATCAGACGGGGATGAAGGGGAGATGAAGAGGAGATGAAGAGGAGAAGAGGGGATGAAGAAGAGATGAAGAAAAGATAAAGAGGAAATGAAGAGGAGATGAAGAGGAGATGAAGAGGAGGTGAAGAGGAGATGAAAAGGAGGTGAAAAGGAGATAAAGAGGAGATGAAGAGGAGATGAACAGGAGATGAACAGAGGGAGATGCAGAGGAAGAAGAGATGAAAAGGGGGGGGGCAGAGGGAGATGCAGAGGGAGGGGAAGGGAGAGGGGAGAGGGGAGAGGGGAGAGGGAGAGGGAGAGGAAGAGGGGGAGAAGAGAGGAAGAGGAAGAGAAGAAGAAGAGAGAAGAGAGAAGAGAGAAGAGCGAAGAGCG